TATTCTATTTTTTACCATTTTATTTTAAATGAATTAAAAACAATCAAAAAAAAATATAATAAAAAATGAATATTTTTTTTTACTTTAAAACTTTTTTATCTAAAAAGTATCGATCCTTATCTGAACTAACGATGATTTTTTTATAAGTTATTTAGAAAAACCGATGAATTGATTAAAAATAGAATTTATTAATTTTTGTATAATAAAAACATTTTTACTCAAGAATGAGACAATATGATTAATTTAATTCATTGATACTTTATTTCTTAATCAAATAATTGATCCATCTTTATGAGAATACAAGAACAGATGATAGGTTAAACAACAATTCTATAATTTAGATCTCAAAAAGATAAAAAATTGAATATTAAGTGAATAAATCTAAATTAAAAATTTATTTCTGGACGACTAAAAAAGTTCAATTGCAAAAAATTAAAAGAAGTTAAAGGGTTTATAATGCGAATTTTATTTTCTTATAGTTTCTTCAAAATTCTGTATTATTCTAAAACACGGACATTTTAGGTAAAGATTGAGTGGAATAATTCTATTTATTTGATTTATTTATGTTTCTTTTAATAAACAAAGAAACTGTATACCTTTCAAAAAATTTTTTTGAACTTAAAAGTTAAATTATATGGCATCAATTCCATGGCTTCTTCGGGTTGTTGTTGGATCACTCCTTCTAATTGTAACATCAGTTGTTTTTACGTTCATATCTCCTGCAGCTGACCTCCAATTTAGAATCCATCAGCCAATTGACGCTCCAAGTTTTCTCACTCAAATTAAATTTAATCTTACTAACTTTAACTATGAAGGAGAGTGTTCTAAAGTATTTAAAAGTAAAAAAAATAATGAAAGAGATTTGCTATTGCTTGGTGGTTCTTTTCCTGAAATAAAAAAATGGAAAGAATCAGAGCCATTGGTTTATGGACAATTAAAAATGAGTCAAGAAACTATTCCAAATGCAAAGAAAATTTTTGTATTAATTGGTGATCCACCAACATCAGATTTTATTAGTAATATGAATGAATGTGGAGTAGAAGTTGTCCAAGCAAATAATGTACCTCAAGGAAATGGTGTTATTATTAGGTTTTTTGCATGGTTAAATTATTTAAAAGAAAATAAAGGAAAATATGATCGTGTTGCATTATCAGATATTCGTGATGTATTTATATTTGGAGATGCATTTGCTACATTTTCAAAAGATGAAATATATTTATCATATGAATGTTTAATAAATAAAAGAGGAAATGTTGAATGCAATGATTTTAGAGATACTTGGAATCGTGGATGGATCAGTCAGTTCTTTGGACATGATACAGCATATCAATATGCTAAAAATCGTACGTTGATAGTTAATGCAGGATTTACATTTGGAGGATATGATAAAATAGTAGAATATTTAACTGTATTAACAGAATCTATGAACCAAAAATATTTTAAATATTGGGGATATGATCAAGCATTATTGAGTTATCTTTATACTACAAGAAAATTAGATTTCTTAAATCCAAAGATGGCAAAATGTGATCAACAATTTTGTTTTGAATTAAGAGGAGGAAGTAGATATGATTCCAAAAAGAAATCATTGTATGTTGGAAATTCAGAATGTTCTCCTGTTATTAGACATAAATTAATTGTTAAAGGGTCTGCTATAAGATTAACATAAAAATTAAATCAAAATCATTGTTAAATAAACATTATTTTTTTACTAACTTTTTTATTTTTTATTAATTATAATTTTTTCTTTATATTAAGTAATAAAATAATTCATTTATGTATTTTGCTTAATCACAATTCTTATTAAACATTACTTTTGTTCATTGTAACTAAAGTATCTCTCAACAAAAATTATCCCTTCTTTTGATAAAAAAAAAACAAATTAGAACAACGAATTAGTTAGTAATTTAGGTTTTTTAACTAATGAACACAGAATCTTTTATCTAATAACCACGTTCTTTTAACAAAATTATAAATTGAAATTAATAAAATTTTTTTTTAAATTTAGATTAATATAACTATTAACATTAAAAAAGCCATAGAGTATAAACAAAAACAATTTGAAGTAACACACTTGTTTTGAGCTAAATATAAAAGAGAAAATTTACATTAAATAAATTAATAAATAAATCAATAATATTCTCAAAATTTAATCATTTATATTTTATAAATAACAAATTTCATAGTTTATTTAAATCTGTTTTTAGATATACACATTTTCAAATTATTACTCTCTTGTTTCTTACTTATTTGATTATGACTATTCTAAAGAAGTTACACTAAATTATAACTTATTCCAGTCTAACTTTTTTTTTAATTTCAGAATGTAAAATCATTAACAATAATTAAACAAAATTTATTTAATAACAAAAACAAATTAGATTTTGAGTATTTAAATAGCGAGAGGTATTTTAGTTAATATACCTTTACTTGGAATTGTTCCATCTGTTAAAACTGTCTTAGGAAGTGGTAATGATTTGAGGAATTCTTCTTTAGTATATACATGTTTTCCTTGAATAATTTCTTTCTTTCCTATAAGACAAATGTCAGCAAGTGCTGGTTGTTGCTCAACTTCTATTTGACCAAACCTCACTAAAGTTTCCCATATTTCCATTCCTGTTTGATCTCTAGTGAATAGTTCAGTAGCAAATACTTTTTTTCCTTTGAATAAATTAAATTTTTGAAATCCATATTTAAATTCATCTTTTTTCATTCCATTAATAATCCAATTCTTTGATACAACCCATTTTCCTTCTATAAGAGCTTTAATACTTGTCATAGTAAGTTTTGAAGACACAACAACATGAGTAACTTTATTAGAATAATTTAGAGATATTTCAAATCCTTTTTTCATAATTTCTTCACTTAAAGATTCTCTTGTTTCTTTTGATATTCCAGAGAGATGAATAATAATTTTTGGATTATTTAAAAAATCTGGTTGTTTAAATAAAGCTAATCTTATTGGTGATGTTTTTAGTTCATTCTCTGATAATATAAATTCTTCTTTATTATTTATTTCTTCTTCTTTAATTGGTTCATTTATTGAAACTGTATCAATACAACTTGTTTCAATAATACTTTTTCTTTCATTTCTTTGGTAATTTACTTTTTCAATTGATTTTTTTATTTCTTCAAATTTACAATTCATATCATCAAGTTTTTTATTATATTCTTCCATATATTTTTGTGTAGTAATTTCATTTTGTGCTATTTCTAACTGTTTAAGAAGAAGAGATATTTGTTGTCTTGCCATTACTATTTCATTAACAATATTATCTCGTTCTTTCTGAAAAATATCAATTTGTTGATCTCGATGTTTTATTTGAGTTCTAAGATCATCTAATTGATTTGTATGTGTTTGTTCTGAAAGATATATTTGTTGTCTTAACTGTCTAATAAGAGCTTCATTCTCTTCTTTTTCTCTTTTAAGTAATACATTGTCTTCCTTTATTTGTTGTACTTTTTCATCATTCTTTTCTATAACTTCATGTTCTTTCTTTACTTCGTCTAATTTATCAATCGTCTGTTGAAGGACATTTCTTAATTCATCATTTTCTTTTGTTAAAATACTTACCTTATCCATTAGTCCTTGAAGAACAGGTGTCATTTGTTGCATATTATCATCCATCTCTTTATTTGCTTGAACTAATGCATCAATAAACGCCTGAGTTGATTGGAATGAACTTCTTTCCATTTCATTTTAACAGTTTTTGGTTTCTTTTTTATTTTATTTTTTTTTTACCTATTTTAAGAAGAATTCCTCATTTTTGAATAATGATTTATGAAATAAAGAATAAAATATTGATTATAAATTCTTTAATAAAATTATAATTCTTTATTTAAATTTTAAATTGAATTAATTTATTTTTGTTAAAACAATAGCAACTCTGCAAGGAATATAAATTTGAATTTGATTTGGTAATCCATCACATTCAATTGGTTGAGAGATGTATTCTTGAGAAGTAATTCTATCATATCCTCCAAACTCTGAAGAGTCTGAGTTTAATATGATTTTATATGTTCCTGGTTCTTTTACTCCAATTCCATATCCTGTAAAACTCTTTTCATAATGGAAATTAAAAATTCCAATAACTGCTCCTCTTTGGAATGCTAAAACATGATCTCCTTCATTATGTTTTGAGATATAAGCATTTGGTTTATTTAACCATGGATATTGATCTTCTAAATGAAGCATTTCTCTTTCAAAAGCCAATAAAAATTTATATCTTAATAAATGGTCTTCAACCAAATTATATTGTCTTCTACAATAATGGAATGAATCACCATTTCCTTCTCTTGGGAAATCAAGCCATTCTGGATGTCCAAATTCATTTCCCATAAATGTTAAATATCCTTCTCCTCCTAACATACAAGTTACTAATCGAATCATTTTATGTAAAGCAATTCCTCTATCAATAATTAATGATGGTTGCCATAAACATGACATTCCAGTATACATTTCTTTGTCCATTAACCAAAATGAGATAGTTTTATCACCAACTAATGCTTGGTCATGACATTCTGCATAAGCAATAGCTTTTTCTTTCCATCTTCTATTATTTAATACAAATCCAATATGATTTACATTCCATTCTTCATCTTTCTTTGTTTTTAAATATTCTACCCAAAGATCTGGACATGACATAGCAAGTCTGTAATCAAATCCAATTCCTCCATCCTCAAATGTTCTACATAATCCTGCATATCCTGATACATCTTCTGCTACAGTAACACAATTCATATTTTTTCTATGAACAAGAATATTAACTAATGATAAATAAGTTAATGCATCTTCATTTGCATTTGGACTAAAATAATGTGCATAATCAAAAGTATGTGCTCCAACACCATGATGAGTATAAATCATAGAAGTTACTCCATCAAATCTAAATCCATCAAATCCAAATTCTTCTGCATAATATTTAACATTAGATAATAAAAATCTTAATGTTTCATAATTGTTGTAATTAAATAATCTTGATCCCCATAATGGATGTTTTCCTTGTTCTCCTGCAAGTAAATAATGTCCATCACTTCCATCAAACATATTAATTCCATCAACTACATTTGCAGAAGTATGTGAATGAACAATATCTAATAATACAATAATTCCTTCTTTATGACATTCATCAATTAAATGTTTTAATGCATCAGGTGTTCCAAATCTTGATGATGCAGCAAAGAAATTAGTTACTTGATATCCAAAAGATGCATAATATGGATGTTCCATAATAGCCATTAATTGAATAGTGTTATATCCAACTTTTTTACAATATGGAACAATTCTTTCTCTAAATTCATCATAACTTGCTATTTTCTTTTCTGGTGTACAAATTCCAACATGACTTTCATATATTTTTAATGCTTTTGGGATTTTTGGTTTTGGTGATGTTGGAATATATGGATGTTCTGGATTATAAACAACAGCTTCCATTGATGATGTTTTAGGATTAAGAACACAATATCTATGATATGTAGGAATTCTATCTAATCGTTCTCCTGAATACGTTATACCAAATACTTTTATTTTACTTAAATGTTTAATTCTAGATTCTCCATTTTCATCTGGAATAAACCCACTATGTGTTCCAAATTCATCACGAACTAATTTAATAGCTGTAGCTCTATCCCATTTATTAAAATCTCCAAATAAATACATTTCTTTAAAATTAGGTGCCCACTCTCTAATACTCCATCCTTCTACTTCTTTTCCATTTTCTTTTTGTGTTGTTCTATTTAACCCATATCGTTTATATGAATTAGCAAATTCTTCTAACGATCCTTCATTATGTTCTATTTTTGAAAGAACATCAAGTGTTTTCTTTTGTCTTCCATAAATTGTTGCAGCAAATGGCTCAAGATATGGATCATCTACAATCATCTGTAATTTTGTTGACATCTTCAATTTATTTATGTTTATTATTTTCTAGATTTAATTAAATAGTTAGTAGCAATTCATATCCTTTTCTTTTTTCTTTTTTTTTTAAGACTAATCTACTTTAATCATTCCTTAATCTGATATTCCTATCCCAAACATCAAATAATCTCGTTGATTATTTAATCAAATCTTTTGAAACTAAAGGCAGTTTACTCTTTGTTAAAGAACTTTATCATTTCATAATATATTTCATATTTTATTTTTCCTTTATTAACCAAATACTTGTTTGTATTTCTAAAACTTACTTACGTGGGACTCTTTTCAAAAAATTGACTCCATTAAATTAAAAATCACAAATCAATGAAAGCGAAATTTCATTGTGAATTTTCATAGAACTATAAAAACTGAACTAATAATATATAGTATTTATTTACTATAATTTATTAAAATTAAAAAAGTTTGATGTTTCTCTTTATTTATAGTTCTTTTTAATAGATTTTTTAATCACAAATCAAGTCAATCAATTAATAGCCTCTTTCAAATAAGTAATTAGCAGCAACCTCTTTATTTTTATTGCTCACAATATATGCTTCAGTTGCCATAGAACGTGAAAATCCTAATTCCATTAAGTCGGTAATATTCTTTTGATCTTCTGAAGTTAAATTTTCTTTTTTTGGTAAATTAGATTTTTGTTGGTCACTTTGAGGTGCTTTTGGGGGTTTTGAATCAGTTGTTGAGAGGTGGTCTTCTTCACTCATTTCATCTTCAGAGTTAATAGGTGTTGAACCTTCTTCACTCATTTGATTATTTCCATCTAATAATTGATCAACTTCTTCTCTAGTTAATGCACCTGATTGAATAAGTTCTTCTATTTCTTCTGGTGAAAGATTATCTCCAAAAGCTCCTAATCCATCACCGTCTATATCTTCTCCAATTTGAAGATTTTGAAGTACATAATTCATTGCTAATTCTGGATCTTCTCTCATTTGTTCAGCTAATTCTGGATCTTCTTCTTCAACTTCATCAATAATTTCATCTAATTCTTCTGGTGTAATTTGAATTTCAATTGGAGATTCTTGGATCATTTCATTTTGGGTTCTTTCTGTTGGTTGAAATACATCAAAATTTTCAAGTGGATTTCCTTTTAATTCTGAAAGAGCTTTTTCTTTATCATTATTAGTTTTTTTTAGAGCGTCCCTAATGTGTTCTTCGTCATACCCTTGATTCTTTAATTCTATAACCAATTTTTCATCAACAATAATATCATTTTCTTTTTTCGTTAATAGTTCTGGCTTAGCTAATGGTTTCTTTTCGTTTAGAATAGGTTTGATGTCTTTCTTTTCATCATTAGAGGATTCA